TAAAATGAGTTGAAAAGCCCAGGCAAAAATCCGAATACACACTTATACATACATGAATACAAACATGCATACATACAAATACATAGACACACTGGGTTTCCACAGTATGCGATTTACACCGCTACTGCAGCAAAGACAAACAAAATTGGTTTATGCAAATTTCTAATTTGCTTTGTGTCTGCAGGATTTTGAACACGCCTCAAAAGATTTTTCACTTGCAGTTTCCAAGCTTTTGGGCGTATCTGGGAGCATTTATTCTCTTGGAAATCCTTGCAATTGTCATTGCGACCAGCCTACTGTGTTACTTATTCTTCCTCTGGCATCAACACCTGGAACAAAACGTTAGCGCCAAAAAACTAAAATCGTTGCCGACGAATGAAAAAAGGTACACCAAGGACGAACAAATGCAAGCTCTCATCCATTACTGTCCTTCAGCTTCTTTCTCCGATATTCTCTAATAAGAACACAGAAGACAATGTCTTATCAATATGTATCAAATCGACGAAAAAACTTGAATTTTGAGGTAATTTTGTTATTAGGAAAAATGAAAGCGAACTGTTGTCTCCCTAGCTTATTTTGGAGTGCGAAACTGTCAAGCAGAGAAAACGAAGGGCGTAGAAGACCGATGAGGAGCAGAAAGTAGTTAGAAGGGCGAACGGACGCCGAATTTTCTGCGAGACGTGGACTTGTGTTCTAAACAAAAAGCTGATTCATAAACATAGTCGCACCACCATTACCGAGAATCTTCTTTTGTAAAGGGCTGAACACACCAAATTGCAAGAAATTTTTTTAAAGAAACTATCTGGCTGAATTGCTTTCTTTTGCTTAGCCCTATTCTGCTAAAATCGGCCGCCTCTCACAATACTTTCCCAGCACAGTTGTCACTAAATCTCAAGCAAATAGCAAAATTTCCTGCAAAGTATTTTCGCATACGAAAAATTTTCATGGAAGCCTCCGGAAAATTACGAAAAGATCGTCCGCAGACGGGATGTATGTGTTGTTTTTGTTGCGCGTTGCAGTCCTCTCTCACTGTATCATCATGTGTAGTTTCGTAATTGAACGATTTCTCTTTAGGCTAGTCTTTTTGTATCATTCCCACGAACCCAATAATGCCAGGAAAAGTACCGAATTGTAGATGCTTAACAAATGGATCAACGCTGCATGCAGATCTGATTTTGACCTTTTTTATGCGTTTTTGCTGTGCAGCGCTATAGCGCTGCTACAACCAGCAAAAACGCATATTGTCGAGAGGCTGTCTGTGTGTGTTCGGAAAGCGAGTGCATTTTGTCACACACTTCCATCTCAGCAACCGGGAAATCTGGGAGGCTGAAACTTTGGATATATGTTCCTACCCCGTGTGTCACCCTCCCGTTTTAAGATCTTTCCCTACACGCGCCTAGACCCTGCGTACAAGGCTCCCAGAGAAATATGTTGGCGGGGAACGATTTCGCGAACCAGGCAACGTAGAAAGCTGAAACTTTGCAGGGATATTATCTATACACGAGCGAGCAAAAGATTTTAAACTCCGTTGTCGAGCACCCCAACCACAGCCTCAAACAACTCCCCAGCCCGAAAATCGTTAAAGAACCCATCGCAACCCGGACCTGTACCCCCAACCGTATATGTAAATGAACGTTAGTTAATTTGCATAAATGGATTTTTCGACAAACAACCGCTTGAGCAATACTTTCCAGCAAACTGGGAATTTGCATTTTTTTCAAAAATTTGAACTTGTCATTTCTTTCACAGAGCTAGCATTTACCGGAAAAACGATCGGACTTCATGCAAAAAACCGGCAATCATGCACCTGGATGTCCATGCGGCTCTATAATGCACCATCTTCATCTCAACTGACGCCCTTTCTTCTGCATGCCGGAAGGATCAAAGCACGGCCAATACGAGCCCAAGCGTAGCGATCATTTCTGCTAATAGTGCAAAAACACATGACCGCACCGGAGTGCCTCGAGCATCCCAGCCTGGGTTATGCTCATTGTCAGGATCTTCTATACTCGTTCTTTATGGCAGGCGGCGATACTCAGAAGTATTCTGAAAGTGGCAACTGCCAACAGAAAAACCACTTGTTAGAAAGTTTTCGATTGCCCTCTTCTAAGTGCCGCTCAAAAGCAAGCTAATGTCGGGATGATTCATTGTCACATACTGGTACCAATTTATCCTTGAAACGAATGAATAAATCATAACGGAAGTGATCATTCCATCAAGTCAACCTCTTAAGTTGAACCCCTATTACTCCCCGCTGCCATGCTCGTCATCAAAAAACTGGTTATTTTATTTTTATTGTAACATATGTAAATGAAGCCACAATTAAAAAAAAAAAAAAATGCGAAACGTGCTGACACTGAAATAAAACACAAATCTGGGAAAAATTCTCAAAAACTGGGTAATTATAGATCAAATTTCTTTGAAAAATAAATTCTCGCTGAAAGCAGAGTTTCCATCCGAGTTTATTTAAAAATAGCATTAACATTAATGTAGAGTAAGGTAAGATGAAAAATAGGAAGGAATGAGCTGAAATGCACGACGGAATGAGTCTGGCTGGTTGTGGATTAACCGGCAGTGGAATCACATGGAATTGCCCCGGATAATGGCAATTAAGCAATCACGATAC